AAAAGGTTTTTATTGAAATTGCAAGTGAGAAAATACGCAAAGGGCCCGAAATTTACACATTAAAGCAAACGAAACATGTACAATTTAGCCTTAGCAGCATCGCGGCAATTTCAGTTTAACACTTTCATGTAAGTTATATAGAGTTACAAGTAAAAAACTTCGTTGGAATGGGAATGACTTTACTTGAATGTGTTACAAAGATATTAAAGTATTGTCCATATTGTTCTGTATGACCTGGAGTACCCATGTGACTTAGCAACTTTAAATTAGACAATTAAGAAATAATGAAGTCGACCCCATTTAAGCAATTTATGTTTATTTATGCGTATAGAAAATAAGGAGAATAACACAGATAGTTAGAAGTAAGGGCACTCATAGTGTTCATTTTTAATTGCAGAGCAATTATGGGGCATTTCTTTTTGTGTGCATCTGAACAGAGATAATCAAAATTATGGATGTCTTTGTAAAATAAAAATCACAATCATTTATTCATCTTTTTATCTAATTTTCACAATAGAAATCGGGACACAGAGCGAACCCAAACCTTCAGAACATCAGAGGTTGGAACAAGTGACATCCAACTGTCGACAGTTCACATCCGATGATCGCTCCTTTTCATGATCGGAGAAAACGGAATAATCCTCAGACAATTCATTGTGAAAATAATGGCATAAAAACAATATGAAAACTTCAGTAAACATTTGACTTAATGACGAATAATATTATTGACCAAGATATTGTATCGACCATATATAAAATCTGAAAAACGATGACTTTAAACGAGATTTTAATATCCTTGTTTTACCAACTTGTCAATAGCTTGCCTCGTTTTAGAAGTAGTTCTTATTTAGAGCAGTTTCTTCTGTATCTAATCAAATGGGAGAAAAAACCCTTTGCAGGTGGTAAGGATGAATATCTACAGAAACAAGGGAAGTGGATGCTAAAAAAGTTAGTCATTACATTTATCTTGGAGTAATGTTATGTGTCTATTAACGTCTCTTTCTAGTAATGTATCCAAATGTATGTGTGAAAGAGATGTGTCAGACTCTGTTGTCTGTTTCACTTCAAGCTCAATGTGACATATTGCGTCTACAAATGAGAGTAACTATTGTTTACGGATAAAACTTCGTCTATATATCCAAGAAGGACATGGAGATAACGAACAGTATTCAATATGGAAGTCCATAAAACAATACAGAATAGGAGCAGAGCAAACACGGACCTCCGAAACATCAGAGGTGGGATCAGGTGCCATGGAGGAGTGAGCATCCCCTGCTGACCGGTGACACCCGCCGTGTGATCGTTGTCATGATCGTGAAATAACGGAAAAATCCGTCGTCAATTCAGTGTATAAATAATGGACTAACAATTGGTATGAAAAACGTCAGTCAGCATTTGACTCAATGATAAGTTTTATTTGCTGACAAGGTCATTGTATCGACCATAGAACTTACGAAATGATGACTTTAAATGAGACTGCTGATATTATTGTTTCATCAGCTTGCTTGTCAATAACTTACCTCGTTCTAGAAATTGTTCGTACGTAGAGCATGCTCTTGCGTATCGAATCAACTGAGATAGATACACTCCGTATGCAGGTGATGAAGATATATTGCTGCATAAGTAAGGGAAGTTGACGATAGAAAAGTTAAAGTCGTCACGTTTATCATATAACTTGGTTGTTAGGTTACCATTAACGTCTTACAAGTAAAATATCCAAGTATGAAAAAGATGTGTCAGAGTCTGTGGTATCTTTTATCTCAAGCTCTCCTGGATATATCGTATCGACGTAGGAATGGAAATTACCATTGTTAATTGACAATACGTCGTCGATATATCTGAAGGTTGAGTTGAATGCCACAGCAAGTGTTTTCTTCTTTTCACGCATAAGATTTTGCATAAATTCTGCTTCATATGAATAAAAAAATAATGAGAAGTTGAAAATCACAAGTTTTTCTTCTTATGTATTACTTAAGGTTTTGAATTAATTCTGCTTTATATGAATACTAAAGTAGCTTTGTTGAAATTGTTGGAAGACTTAGCCTTCTAGAACTACAGAGATTTTGTCGATCAAAACTCAAACATTTTTTAATATCAACTTTGGAGTTCTGTGTATACAATAAAAATGTTTTTTTTACAAAATGATTTTGCAAATGACCAATGGCACGATAAGAAAATTAACGCGTTTCATTTTTACATTTAAAAAAGCTGTCATTGAAGACATAAACTCTGGACTTTTAATTTAGGGTATTTATGGTGGGAATAGTAACTTATAGTGTCGACAACTCATACGTTTTGATGTTATTGATTTTGGTAAAATTTTATTTCAAATTTTCTTAAATTTCCGTGGAATTTTTAAAGTTTCCACGTCTGATTAACATCACTTCTCAAATATATTTTGTACAGATATTCTGACGTTTCTCCTTCATTGGTGTGTAATTATTCAAATAAGGATTAAAGAAAGAGGCCTGGTAGAACATTTACTGGAACCCGTTAGGCTAGTTATCTTTGTTTGTGAGAATGTTTGTGAAGTGCAGAGGTATTTTTAAAAAAAATCAGTTTTGCGTGTAAATTAAAAATTCGATTAAAAAAAATATTTAACTTAAATACCTGTACTTTTTGATGACTCGCGATTGTTAAGTTTCGGGGACATGGGTATTTAATTGGATGTATATTTGTGGTTCGTCACCTCTGCCTGAATCAAATTAATGCACTTAAATTCCATTTATTTGGAATCGCACTTTAACACTCTCATCTCTATTTAAGACAGGTTCTAACTATGTCAAAAGAAGTACAGAATATTATTTAATTCTTACTGCGCTTACAGGTATTTATTTTTCCCAGTATTTTAAAGATAGAATAACTGCCTAAATTTACAGGGTGGTCCCACGATTTAAAGCAAGGGTCGCAAAAATTAAGATAAAAATATTTTGAAAAAAAAGCAAAACAAATGCATTTTTTTTCATATGGTTTCTAAATCTGTATATAAATTAAAATAAATGAATACATACATCTACACTATTTTTTCTGCAAAAAGTCTATATCCGTATATATAACTGTAAAGTGTCGGTACTTTCTTCTCACTCAAACTACTTTGACATTTTCAGAGTAGCCAAATCAACTTTTTGAGTATGATTGGTGGTGCTTCGAACATGTGCGAAACGGTTTTGACCCCCCCCCCCCCATCCCCTCTTGGGCCAATTGGGGTTTTAAAAAAACTGGTACCTTAATCTCCTCTTACATGTTTCAAAATAGTACAATCACATTTAAAATGTCATTGGGAGTGCTCTCTACATTTGCAGTAAGGTTTTGGAATTTCCATTTTCTCCTTCCGGGGATGTATTGGTTTTAAAAACGTTCTCCTACAAAAATCTGCTTTCGTGAAGTCCTCTGACATTGTTTGTAGTAACAAAATCATCTTTTGGAATGTGATTAGGGGTGTTCTCTACATATGCAAAAATATCCTTTTTTACCCTCCAGAACTGTTTGTGGTAAAAAAGATGTCTTTTCCCCCTACAAAACCTGTTTCTCTGAATTCCTCTGACATTTTTTTGCAGAAGTCAAATATTTTGTTGTTTTTTTTAAATCTAGTTCCTTTAAGTCGTTTTACAACTTCAAATTAGCCCAATTATATTTCGGAAGAAGCAGTTTATATCCTGTGGTTGTGCATTTAAGTTTTGAAACTACTTTCATCCTTGGACTGATTTGGGTTAAAATCAACCTTATTTGTATATGATTGTTGTTCTTCCCTTGTTATCAAAATGTGAAGATGGGTGCATTTAGAATCAAACTTCTATGTGCAAATATTACTGTTGGATGATTCTGGTACACATATACATTGCTGTGAATGGACCTCTGTTATATTCTATAATCCGTTTTCATATTACTATACAAAAAAAATTGGTATTTCTTATGCAAAATTTGCAAATGACAAATATTTGTCATGTACAAATGGTCCAGTATCAAAATTTATGTAAAAAACCTTATCCGAAGGCACAGAGATTTTTTTTTAAATACTAAGTATTGACAATAAAGAGAAAAAAGATAATTTTATCTTGGGTGAATGCCGAATAATTTATTCTCTGAATAAGAACTAATTCCATACATATTACATCAGGTTTTTAAATTTAGTGCCACACAAAATCTTTCCTTTGTAAAGCCTACTCAATAATTTCAGTTTATTTATACATGAAAGCAATAAGACAACCCTTCTCAGCTATACAAATGTCATGGAAAACAAACAATCTCATTGATATGTAGCTCTTATTTATTAGGGAGAACGAAATTGTCAATTTTATGTATTACACTGTGAGCAAGATTTTAACACATACTCTTTCACCTGCGGAAGCTTATCAAAATCTAATAGTTTCTCACCACTGAATATAAAATGACAGAAAATCCATCACGTAAACTCGTTTAATTCGAAAAACTTGGTGACGATGAATGACATACGCCCTCTTTCAAAAAGTAAGGTGCCTATTAACTCCACAGATTTCCACTTTTATATAGATGGTACGTGTATATTTGGCACAACATTTACATTTTCATTTGTGACCCTAAAGAGGCAAGAATTGAAGCTTTGTTTTCTTACAATGACAACTAAGATTACCTTCTCAACTTTGTTGTCCAGGATTTGGAAAGTCCTTCGTAAAAGTTTTAGACGTTGGGTTTTAAGTAGGAAACAAACATGGGTGGTTTGGATTCGGAATTTGTTCGTAAAAGTTCAGAAAGAGACAAAATTGATTGACAGAAAGGCGGACACGATTTGCAAAGCACTAATAGGAAATGAAATATTATTTGATATCACATTCTGTTTGACATATAAACTTGATATCCTCTCAAGATTAAATATAATTGTATAAAAGATTTCTTCTTTCGTGAAGTGCTCTTCTCTCACCAAAGTACAAGGACCTCCAGACAGCAACGTTCTCCAACCCATGAAAGAGACCCTTTTTTAGGGAGCCTTATATTTGTGGACGATATTTTGGTTTTCCTCAAAAGAGGTCACAAAATTCCAAGATAAGACTAAAGTGACTTGTATATTTCTTTGTCCCAAAAGTCAGTCTGTTATCTAACAAATATGAGGCTTCATTTACAAACCTTTGTGTTGTTTTTAATATGCTGTTTTGCCTTTTCAGGGGCGCTAAGAAGGTAACATTTGATCATAGCGTATGTATTTTTACACAATAACTGTTGCAATCTTTAAGGTCCTTTATTATGTCAAGTGTCATCGGGGTATTGTTTTTTGTGTTCTATCTGTTAAAGCCAGTCTTGATTGACACCGTAGCTATTTTGAAACATGCTGTTTCATTGTTGATAAAATTTTGAGATCAAACGAAATACGGTTATACAGAGAATATTTCTTTTTATGGTTATTACGGTAAATGCGATATTTTGTATGGTTATTACGATAAATACGATAGTCATTTTTTGTGACTGAAATTCAATTGAAATGAAACGAAACTTGTAAGAAAGGCCTTCACATATTTTTCAATATGAAATAAAGTATATATCCCAAATACATGTTGTTCTATTTTGTTTATTTTATGTTGATTTTTCCTACAAATAAAAGAGCTGTAATTGTTTGGTTTTATTAAAGAAAACCTTTTCATTTTTAATGTGGCAACCCTACTACTTGCCATGTAAGTCGAGGGACCTCTGCTTTCCACAGAGTCCTACAACTTACTTGTAAATGGCAATGACGTGTTTTTTTTTTTCATTTTGTAATGTAAAAAGACAGTTTGGCAGTATTCAATGCCAGTACTTTGGTTCAGTTCTTTCTGAAACATAATGTATTTGTTTATTCTTGAACGCTTGAATGTATTTTGCAGAAAATGGGGAGTTGTGGCCCAATCTTGACGCTTGTACGTCAAATGTTTCAAACATTTTATTGATATGTTTTTTTCAATATCGATACGAATTTTTGTTTGAAGGAAGAGAGAATGGTGTAGACCAGTAGATACTGAGTCACAATGCATGCTTGGTATCTTGGGTAGCTCTTGTCACATGAAGGATGACATGTGTTGTTGTCCACCTATTTTTCCAGGTATGTTACAAAAAAGGACACAGGATATAGGTATTTACTGTACGTTTCTATCTTTCTGAGGAACAGAATTAAAAAAAAAAATAAGAACGTTACAAATACTACTATACTATAATTATCAATATATATTCAATAAAAGTAGTTTTTATATTGCTTTATAATTTTTTTTAATTATAATTTATGCACAACGTTTCATTAGTGTAAATAAGAGAAAATAAGCTATTTCTAAGTCAAGATTTATCAGAGAACGTTTGCTGTTAATCTAAATGAGATATTTAACTTCTCCTTTTATCAGGTAAGAGAGAGGCGGGTCACTGTGCTATGGTGTGGGACTGGGTGTGTCCCCCTAACTGTGAGATGGTGAGGGACTGTCGGACTAGGTGTAACATGCCTGGGGAGTACTGTTGTTGGTGTGCCTCATCTTAACAACGAATAAAAATATTGTCATAAAACTGTTCTTTTGGATCTCTTTAACTCATTTCTGTTTTATCATGATGCTTGTTTGTTTTTTAAAAAGATATATCATGCATTGCTACAGATGTATTTTCAATCCTTAGTATATTTTTTGTCTGTCTGCATTGTTTTAAAATGCTTTAGGTCTAAAAATCAGTGAGTATTAAACAATTAAAGTATATTAGATGAGAAGTTGTAAAAGATGATGTTGCTTTAGGTTATATGGCCATTTTTGTCCATGTTTTAACCTTCGTGTTCCTTAACAGTGTCTTTGACCTTGGCTATTCTCAAATGTAACGCTAATAAAATAGAGACTGTAAAATTTGTTGAAAACCATGCATGCCTCGTTGAAAAAGATCAAAATATATAACAAACTTACTGAAATCTCAATTAAATCAAATCATGCAAACATGTTCATCAAAGCGGCCTTCTCTAATTGAAATAAGAAAAGTCCTACCGCTTTCTAAGAAAATGCTTAAAATTAGAAGCATTTCAAGGAGCATAAGGTGTCATCAAAACAAACCTTGGTATGTAACGTCCTAATGAAACAGAGGAAGAGAAATAACCACTTGTTGTATATGGTCTTCTAGCTATATTTATTACAAGTTAGTTATGTCTCTTCCATTTGTAATATTTATTTTCATTTCAGTCCATGACTCTTTCTCTTTTTTTTTTGAAATATAAAGTATTTCTTAAAAATGAAATAAATATGATAATAATTGTATCCACTTCATATCATGCTGCTTGAATTTTAAATTTACTCTTGACGCCATTTTTAATTTCATATCATGACAGAAAATTCATTCCAAAAGTTTTGTGTACTATTTAAGATATAAACATACAATTAAGATTTTTTTTTTTTAGATTTATCTGATTTTTCCTCGATCTATTGGTATGATCCCTGCTTTATTTTATTGATAGTCTAATCAATTCTTAGATTCTTATTTATGTGTTTTTAACAACATATAATCAAAAAATTACCACTCCTTCTGCAGAGAGATTTGTCTAGTTAGAATTAGGCCAAGTTCCTAAAGTCGCCTGTAATCTCTATACGTGGACTGATTTCACAAAAAATGAAGCCTGTTCAAATTCTGATTCTTTTGGCTTTTGTTGTCGTGGCTCATTCAGCTCGTTGGTAAGATATATTAATCTTTCTTTTTTAAAAGCATTTGAAATTAATTTATTTTTTAAAAAATCTCAAGGATGACAGAATGGACATGCAGATTCCCCTTAATTCAATTCTTTTAATAATTTGAATAAAGAAATTATTTTGCTTTACCTGAAAAAAAGAACCAATAATATTAATATTGAATTGTTTTATTGCTTGAAACATCTTAAATAAGCTACAGCATTACATATACCTTTAGTAAGGCATGCATTTATTTTCAGGACTCGTGAAGACTGTCATTATGCAGAAACAGAAGAGGCTTGTAAATCTGTTTACCTTGGTTACCGATGTCATTTTTCTGTAGATGATAACAGATGTTGCTGCCCACGTATATTTCCAGGTACAAAAGTTAATTAAACTAGAGTTTTAATTAATTAAAAAATGATTAGACCTTACGGACCGATAGTTAAATGAAAGTACATGTACATTCAAATTCTTACGAAAGAAAAAAATAATATATCTGTAAACGAAGTAGAGTGTATCGCTCGAATACGTTACTTATTATGTTATATATTATCATTGAGTTCTGTTTTAAGTTTATATTGATAGGATTGCAAAACTTTCTATGAAAGCAATTTCAATTTTTATCTAGCTGCACTTAATGCACATAACAAAATTTTTTTGTAGAAAATTGTTTAGTTTATTAGTTCTATACTTACTTATATATTAGAAACGCACTAAAGTAACCATATTTTGACTACATTCTGCTTGTGTTCAGGAAATTAATTTCACCAAACTGCTTTATTCTTTGAGCGTTTTCTGTGCTGGTAGTAATACTCGAAGTTTTTATTTTTGGAAATTTCGAAACCACCAACACTTTGGTTGAGAAAATTGCTACACAAATTACTCTTAGCCAATGGTAGCAAAGTTTCGGACCATATCACTATTAAGATTTTCAGTTTGACCAGGGTCACTTAATAAACTTTGCAACTGTAAATTCTTTAATGTAATAATGTACATTTTGTGTCCTACTAAGTTACATTTTTAACAGGTAAAAGAACATTCCCTTGCTTTGGGAAAGACGAAAGCCATTGTCATTTACCTTGTCATATGACAGAGGATGGGACCTGCTGTTGGTGTCCACTGGTTGGTTAAAATATGTCACGTGGTCTGCATTTGCATTCGACATAATTTTCACTTTATAAATAGTTACAACCATTTTTATGTGGTTTTAATTTATATGTATGAAATTCACAGCAGTTGGGATATAATGACCTCGTCAGCAAATACATTTTATCATTGAGTCAAATGCTGACTGACATTTTTCATACCAATTGTTAGTCCATTATTTATACACTGAATTGACGCCGGACCGATCTTTCCGTTATTTCCCGATCGTGACAAAGAACACACGGCGGGTGTGACCGGTCGGCAAGGAATGCTCACTCCTCCATGGCACTTGATCCCACCTCTGATGTTTTGGAGGTCCAAAAAAAAAGAGGTTTGCTCTGCTCCTAATTTGTATTGTTTTATGGACTTTGATATTGAATACTGTTCGTTATCTCAATATATTTCATTGCAATAGGTTAAACTTACTAGTATATTTTTTTGTTACGGACTCGATATAATACCACGATCGTTGTGCCGTAGAAGACATATCCACTTAGTGGCTTTAAATTCCAACGGAAAATTATTGCATGTTCATTGAGCATAAAAAGTATGCAAATTTGATACAGGACCAGATATGAGATATGAACTGAGTATTGTAGCCCACCCACTTTATCAGTTGATTGAAAGCTAGGTATAAGCCCCTGATGGTAGGACAAAGATGGTGATATATTGAAATTGGTTTATATCCTCGAATTTTTTTTTTTACATATCGACTTCTCGAAAGTAAACTCTTTGCCAGTCTAATTGAAATTACTCCTTTCATCTCGCTCTTCTTTAATCTATAGTGGATTGATCTTTTCACGAGAGACAAATAGATAAACGAAGAGCAAGATAAAAGCTCTACTATTAAGTAGATTGATTCTTTGCATTGTTATAATGAGCAGGTAGCCTATCAAGGATTGAAATTCATGCCCCCTCGGTCTTATTTGGGCCCAGGGTAGGAATCAGATGATAAAGTTCGGTTTACAATGTACTTTTGATAATAATATTAATTACTGAACATTTAAGAAGCATAATGTACAGTGTATACAGGTACCTAAAGCTCTGTTCCAAAAGCGGAGGATGATGTATAAGTTGATCATAAATCGAAAATGCGATGTATCTTTATCTTCCGGAAACAAATTTAAATTTATAAAGATAACTTAAAAATCAAAGAGATATTGATCATATCCGATATAAGAAGCTTATAATACGCAGATAACCTTCAAGGCCTTTGGACCTATTGTTTTAAATAGAAGCTCTCATGCATATGAAGTTAATAGCTCTCAGTTGATTGATAGAGCAAGAGCATGTTCTATAGTACAATTACTAGTATTAAAAAAAACGAGATACATGTAGACTGTTGAAAAAAGTTAATGATAAAGGGTATAAAAAATTAGCTTATGTCAACATTTCAGAAATTCTATGGTCGATACAAAGGCCTTGATTGAAAATATACTCAGTCGTTAGGTCCAATGTTGACTGACGTTCTCAAACGTATTCTTAGGCCATTATTTTCACACAGAATTTTCTACGGAGTTTTGTGTGTAACCGATCATACAAGGCACAAGGCGGGTATGACCACTCGGCAAAGGATGTCTATTACTCTTTGTCGCCTGATTCCTCCTCTGTTTTCAAAAGTTCGTAATGCTTATAGTTTGCATTGTTTAAATAGACTTTTGAGGATAATAACTACTAGTATTAGTTTCTCTTATTTGTTCCGTATTTCGAAAATTTATTAGAAAAAGACGACAACTGTAACCTTATAACAAAACTAACGAGGAACGTACAATATACACATCATCTGGATACTAGTATGTTGAATGTGTCTCCCAATACGCGAGTTTCGAGATTGTAACTCTCCTGCGATAGAGGCGCAAAAAGTATCCATTTCAGTATGGAGGTGGGACAGTTTGTTTATGTATACAAACGCGCATAAATAAATGAACGATGTTTATGGCTTTTAAAATTTAATTAATGTTATAGAAAGATAAAATGTTAAGCAGTGATGCGTTTTATGATTTTATCAAGCTCAATTGTGTATATTTACATATCTACTTTCAATTATAGGGTACTTGAAAACGAAATAAACGTCGTGGTCTTTATAAAAAGTAAAAGATTTTCTAGATTGTACAAACATTGAATTCTCTAAAAAGTAAGTGTTCTTTTGAAGTTATGATAAGGTAAAAAATCCATGTGTCATTTAGATTGCCGACATGTAATGATCAGATTCATGTTTACCGTATTTATTAGAGGTCCATATATCTCTTCCCTCGTCTGAAAAGTCTCACATCCTCTGAATTGTCTTTTTTGTTCCGATGTTTTGCTTTAAAAAATGACACCTTTACTTTAATTCGGTTATTCTCAAGTTGAACAGTGCATCTTTACAATTATAGTTAGATGAACCAGTATATCGATGATGCGATATATCCAATAATAAATATCTGTCCCACCTGTTTGTTTACGCGACAACCAAACTTCCCTCCTCAACGAAAGAGCGCACCAAGGGAGATAATCTCGAAACTTGCGTATTGATTCGATACGCAAGAACATGCTCTACGTACAATCAATTTCTAAAACGAGGCAACTATTCACAAACATGATGAAATAATATCAACAGTCTCGTTTAAGGGGGCCGACTATAGTTTCCATTGCGCAATATTTCGCGCATCATGGTAAAATGAAGCGTATTTACTGTTTTAATGCAACTTTTTTC